ATGGCGCCCCGTGCAGGTCTGGTCAGGGACCAGCAAACCCACCCGTAAGTGTTCGCCAGGCTCCAAAGAGGCCACACTGGTTTTGGAAGAAAGCTGCACTTTTGAGCCAGATTATATATTTTTTTTATTGATCTCTTGCTCCCGGTGGGGGAAGCCGCACAAAGGACGTCAGGGCCCCTGCAAGCACCTTGGCATAAAGGCTCTGGTGACCAGCATGCAAGGGGGGGGGGGCTTTTCCTCGCAGGCTCCGGGTGGCTGACAGCTTCACAGAATAACGAGCTGCCCCTGCTCCTCAGCTCCTCCTTCCCGGTGACCTTGGGGCGTCCTTGAGCGCACCACCCCCACCCCCGCCCATCTCCAGCATCCAAGGCAATCGGGTACCTGCAGCCGCACAAAGGACGTCAGGGCCGCCGCAGGCACCTCGGCATAAAAGGCTCTGCTGACCAGCACGCAAGGGGGGCTGTTCCTCAAGGCGGAGAAACGGGTAGGAAGCGTCTTTGTGTGATTATGTCTTTCAAGTTCAAGTACAAATCAGGCACGGAGGGAAGCCAACCAAGAGGCAGGAAATGAAGCCTGGAGGTTGCCTGTGGCTGCTGCAAGCATGTGTGTGTGCATGAACACGTGTGCACGTGAACACATACATGTGTGTGCGTGTGTGTGCCTGCCTGTGTGGCCGTGTGCATGCGTGGCACGTGTGCTGTGTGACGTGTGCACACACGTGTTGTGTGTTGTGTGTGGGGGTGTGTGTGCCCGTGTCTGTGCCTGAGTGCCCACGGGTGTGCACGGGTGTGCACGGGTGTGCACGTGTGACTGTACACGTGCATCTTCTGCTCAGCTCTGCGTGCACGGCAGCCCGTCCACGCAGGGGCGGCCCCTGCAGACCAGGCCCGGATCTTGGAGGAGATCCGGCAGCACGGCCCCCCAACCTGCGCCCTGTCCCGCCCTGAAGGCCTAGGTGGGTGTGGGGTGCAGGGAGAGGCGGTCCCGCTGCGGCCCCGCGTGCACCCCTGGGCCTGGGCGCCCTCCTGGCAGCCACACGCAGCCGGCACCTGGCGGCGGGACCTGGGACCCCAGGACCTAGCCCCCCCCCCCCCAGGCTCCCTCTCGGAAGTCCTAGGAGAGACCGCGGGGGAGGGGACGGGGGAGGGGCTGGTGCCCTGCGCCACCTGCAGGAGGGGACCCGCCAGAGCCCCGGGGACCAAGCGCAGTGCTGACCTGCCAGCCGGAGACTCTTCTTTTTCAAACAATTTGACAAACCAGCCGAGGGAACAAAAACCGCTTATCGTAAAGAAATACCACCGGCTCCCTGCGCGGCCTTTCACGTCTCCCGGTGCCAGGCTCCCGGGCTGGACGCCGGTGCCCTGGGGTCAGGGTGGGGGCTCCCAAGGCTCCGTGGCGCCCAGCCCAGCCTGCTGGAGCCAGGCCCCCCGCGGACGTGTGCCGCAGCTGGACGCCTGAAGGTCACCTTTGAGACAGGCTCCGAACGAGTGGCCACCGCAAGGCCTCTGCTGCCGCCTGGTGGCGCATCCTGGAATTGCAGGCGGTCGTCTTGGGGCTGGACCCACCACCTCTCTGCGCGGGCACACTGTGAAGGACAATAGGCTGACACTCAGAGGGGCTGATACATCTGCCCACAGTCACACAGCAGACCGCCCACAGAACAGGGCCCGCCCGGCTTCCTCGGTGCCTCCTGATTTATAGGTTAGGGGTGGCACGGTGATACTGTTCAGGGCTCAGAGTCCAGCCTGTGAGGTCAGGCGGACCGGTGGCTCCAAGCCAGGTGGCCCCCACCGGCTCCTGCTGGCCACCATCACACAGACTCCGAGCAGGGGCCAGGCTGACCACGGTCTGCTGCAGAGGCCAGGGCCAGCCCACCCAGAGCCCGCCAGGCGGGATGCAGAGAACACCCCCCCTCCAAGGCTCCCCTCTGCGCTCCGGGAGGTGCTGGCTGCCAGCAGAGACGCCCCGATCCATGGGGGCTTGGGGGTCCACAGTGGCAGTAAGGTCACCTGGGCAGCCCCGGCGGGGAGGCTGTGCCAGGACACACCCCCAGACAGGGAGCCTTAGGGTACCCGTTGGTGTGGCCGGCATCAGATGGGAGAGGGCGGCTGGGGGCTGGGGCTGCCTCTCCTGGGCCAGGGGCGGGGACGGGGAGGGGACAGCCCCCGGCCTTCTGTGAGCAGCCTCCGGCATGTCTGTCCTCCCCCGGAACCCCGTGGCCAGCAGAAAGCGCTCGGCAGCTTCAGTGCCCCCCAGTCTCAGAAACGGTGAGGCGGGCTGTAAGGCGGGGAAGGGGCGGCCACAGCGCCCTGTCTCCAGGCCAGGCAGCATGAGGCCACCGAGACCTCCCTGATCCCTTGCCGCCCGAGGGCCTGCGGCGTGGGGACAGGCCTGTGGCGTTTCCTCGCAGCCCCCTGCCCGGATGGGGCTCGCTGCAAATCCCCAGGGAGCGTGGCCCGGCATCCCGTGAGGGCCCACCCCCCCCCCACTGCGTCTGCTCTGGTGGTCGTACAGCCCCCGCAGCCGGGCAGCCTGCACAGGGTCGCGGGGCCGGGCGTCCACCACCCAGGGTGGGCAGGGCTGGTTCCCCCCGAGGCCTCTCCCCGGCGTGGAGACGCCGCCCTCCCCGTGTCCACAGATGCTCGTCCCTCCGCGTGTGTCTCTGTGTCCTGATCTCACAGGGACACCGGTCATCTAGGGTTAGGGCCCTCCCTAGTGACTTCACTCAAGGCCCGGTCCCCAAAGACAGTTGCGCCGTGAGGTGCCGGGGGTCAGGGCTCCAACAGCCGGGTTTGGGGGACACAGCTCAGCCGTGACAAGGCAGGCCCTGCGGTGAACACGAGGCCATGGGCCCCGACGGCTCTGCCCCGGCTGCAGCCGGGCCACACGGGCCCCCGGCCCGCCCCTCTCGTGACGCGCCTCCCTGAGGACTCCCGGTCTGGGGCGGAACTGGGTGGGTGGGCCGGAGCCTCAGGGACTCTGGTTTTCCAGAACATCCAGGCCCAGCCCCAAGCGTGCAGGCCGTCCCGCCACCTACCACGGAGCACCCACGCCTCTCACAAATGCGGATTAAGTGGCAGAACAGCGTGGGCGGCTTCTGTCGGAAGGAGCAGCGGCGGGTGGTAGTCTGAGGAGCACACGCGGGTGCAAGGACTGAGTCAGGTGGAGCCGAGCCCGGAGCGATAGAGGTGCCGCGTGCACGTGCGTGTGTGCGCGCACCTGTGTATTGTGCGTGTGTGTGCGTGTGCACCCCTGTGTCCGTGTGTGCATCCATGTGGGTGGGTGCGTGTGCACAAGTGTGTGTCTGTACATGTGCATGCCTGCGGGTGCTGTGCACATGTGAGTGTGTGCACACCTGTGTGGGTGAGTGTGTACACATGTGCTGGTGTGTGTAACTAAGCACTGTGTGGGTGTGTCTGCATGTCATGTGTGTACATCTGTGTGGGTGTGCATGCACGTGTCTGAGTGTGTATACACACATGTGTGGGTGTGGGTTGCAGTGTGTATGCACGTGCACACCTCTGTGGGTGGGTGTGCACACGTGTGTTGGTCGGTGTGTGTGCACATATGTGTCTCTGTGTCATGTAAGCACATGTGTGTGGGTTGTGTGTGTGCACACCTGTGTGGGTGGGTGTGCACTGGTGTGTCCGTGTGCGTGTAAGCACTGTGTGGGTGTGTGAATGTGTCTGAGTGTGTGCACGTACTCACATCTGTGTGGGTGGGTGTGCACACGTGTGTCAGTGTGCATGTAAGCGCTGTGTGGGTGTGTACGCACGCGTCTGCGTGTGTATGCAGATGTGTGGGTGTGGATGTGGGTGTGCAGTGTGTTTGTATGCACGTGCATACCTGGGTTGGTGGGTGCTGTTGTCCACTTAAAATGGCGGCCTAGCGGTTCGCCTGTGTGTCCACCTTCGTGGAGGAGTGTGGGAGCCACCCGAACACGTCCGCCTGGGCCCAGCAGGGTCCCCAGGGTCCCCAGCGTCCCCAGGAGAGGCCCTGTGACCCATCGGCATGCGGCCCGTGCTCGCCGTCCACTCCCAGAGACGCCCCCAACGGCCCACCTGACCGTCTGCGGTCACTGCAGCCGAGGGGACCCTGGCTGAGCCCCTCCCCCCGCTGCCAGCACAGGCCTGAGACAGCGTCCACGCGGGGTGGGGGAGGCGGCCCAGGACCTCCGCCCTGGTCAGCAGAAGCCCCCCAAGGGCGCCTGTGCCTGCTCCAAGGAGGAGGGGCAGTGAGTGCGGGCGCCTCCCACACGCAGAGGTGGACGTGTCCCCAGAGGAGGCGCGCGGGGTCCTCATTCTCTCCACGCCCTCGGTGTTCTCCACCCAGACCCTCTCCCTCCTACCAAGCGGGGGTCCAGGGGGCCCTGGGCAGTGGGAGCCAGAACGCGACCGGGCCACCTGGAGGCAGCTGGGGCGATCCCGCCTGCTTCCCGCCCATCAGCTCCACCCCTGCGGCCCTGCACACCCCCGGGCAGACAGCACGACCACCAGCCAGCAAGTTGCTTGTGTCACCTGCTCTTTATTGACTGCCACGGGCTGCATTCTCATGGGTGACCGGGCGCCCCGGGGGGGGAACTATATAGAGGATGGGGGGAAGGGAACGCGGTCGGGGGGAGGCAGGCTGCCAGGGCCGGGATGAGCCTCAGGGCGCCCGGCAGACGCGGGCAGGCGCCCACCACCCAGGGTCGAGGGGCGCCTGGCTGGCCCTGGGGACCCAGAGGTCGGCCGGAGGTGGCCCCCTCTGGGCGCACGGCACCGCCGTCTCAGGGAGCGGGGTGGCGATCACGCCCACCAGGCGGCCGGCCCGAGGCCGCAGCACCGCAGGCGGGGCCCAGGCCCCCCAGGCTGCCCTCCCCAGACCCTCGTTCCCTGGGAGGAAAGGAGAAGGAAATGAAAACCAGGAAAGCGGATGGGGCCAGCGCCGCACTTTCTAGGGCTCCCCCGGCGGGCGGGCCGTGGGGGCAGCAGCGGGGGCAGCCGAGGCCGAGGCCGAGCTTAGGACGAGGGCGCGGAGCTGGGCTTCTCCTCCCGCGACACGGGGATGGCTCTCTCGCTGTGGCCGGCGTCCACGCCAGATGGGATCTTGGGGCCCGAGAAGGTCAGCATGCCGTCCGCGGACAGGGAGCAGGAGAGGGCCGACTGGTCCACGTTGGAAGGCAGGCGGTAGCGGCGGTGGAACTCCCGGGAGATGTAGCCGTGGTCGTCCTGCGGGGGCGGCGGGCGCGGTCAGCGACACCAGGGCGGGGGTGTGGCGGGGGTGCCGCGGCCCTGACGCGGAGAAGGCCCTCCTGGACTTCACAAGGGCCGGCTCACCACGCTCGCGCACGGGGCAGGGGGAGAGCCAGCGTGCCACGTGGGGGCTCCTGCTGAGGCTTACCACCCGGCCTCCCCGCCCCCCAGCCTCGGCCTCCCTGCCTCCCAGCCTCTGGATCTCCCGGCCTCCCTGCCTCCCTGCACAGCCTGGGGCCATTCACGGCCATGGAGTTGGCTCATCAGACTCATTCCACTCCAGACGCGTGTCCTGGGCCTGCACGCGGATCAGGTTTGGCCTTTACCCCACGGGGCTCAGGGTGTCTGCCCGCCACCCCCAGGGCCTGAGCAAAAGAGCTCTCATTTCAGGGGGACGGCCTGGCCCCAGCCCCTGCGCCCGACTTCTTCCTCCACATAAAACAAGTAGCTTGGGCCCCAATGCCGTTCATGGGGGTGGGGGGTGCAGGAGGCAGAGTCAGGGGTTCACCCCCCACACACACACACACAACTTCTCCAACCACTGGAAGCTAACCCTGGTCCCTGACCGCCGGGTGAGAAGCCACCCCAGACAGTGCCAGCTGTGGGGCCACCGACCCCCCTGAGCCACGCAATAACGGGGGGCACTCGCGGCAAAGGGCTGCCGAGAGGTGAACGTGTGAACACACGAATGTTTGGGGCATCGATGACCATGGGCTGCACTGTGTCAGGGCTCACCCTCCGGTTAGGTTTCCGTGGAAACCTTCGTGGCTCAGAGCTGGCCCCCGGGTGCCCGGAGTTTCCCGGATCCTCCCTACTCTGACCCCGTCACCGGAGCGGCTTGAAAGGAGCCAGGGAGAGCCGGGCGGCACCCGGGGTGGGGGGGTCCCCGCAGGCCGCTCCCCTGCAGGGCTCAGGAGCGGCCTCCCTGTCGCTGGGTCCTCTGGGACAAAGCCCTCCCTCCCGGGGTGCAGGGCGCCCGGACCCACCTGCCTCTCGTTGTGCTTGCCATGGATCTCCACGAAGTCCTCCAGCACCTTCACAGTGAGGTCCTCCGGGGAGAAGTGCTTCACGTCCAGGAAGATGACGAACTTGTCCCGGTCGGACCGGACCTGAAACCCAAGCGCTCCCGTGAGCCTCTGCGGGCCGAGGTTCCCGCGCTGCTGACCCAAGCGGCCAGCGTGGAGGGGCCGGCGGCTCGCTGTCAGCGCAGAAACGCCTTCCACGCATACGGACACAGGGACCCAGGGACCCCTGACTCGGCGCCGCGTGGATGCTCGGGGCTCAAGGCCGTGTGCCTGTCGCTGCCTAGCTGGCAGCTGAGTGGCTGGTGATGGCGGGCTGGCTGGGCAGGGGTTGGCCGACTGGCTGGACCTGGCACGTTGAACAAGGTCCCGGCCCCCAGCCTTCTCCCCACAAGCGGCACGCGGCCTGGCATCCCCCGCGGGCAGGATGTGCCTGCAGTGTTGCCCAGCTCGCTGCTCACCCCACTTCCCTCTCCCCTGCCCTCACAGCCCTCCCCAGGGACACTTGGTGAGGCTGTTTTTGTTTCTGGAGTTGATGGGCGCCCCCCGGCTCTGGACAGGCCTCTGCTTTCAGGCAGTGACGGAGACCCAGGCCCGCTAGACCCTGGACCCTGGGGTTTGCCATGGGGGCTCGGGGAGAGAAGGCCAATGGCCGCTTCCCTTGGGGTCTGGCCCCGGGCACCTGGGCGGCCCGGGGAGGGCCCACTGTCTGCGGCCGTGCCGGCCACAGACGGCCTTCAGACGGGAGGACCCGGGGCAGCACAGCCCACCCGCCCAGGCCCCCTGCGGAAGCGAGGGGAAGAGACAGGAGCACGGAGGTCACCACGGCCATGCTGGGCCTGCCCCTCGGCCTCCCATCGTGTGGCTGGTGCCTCGCAGAGCACATGGGGTCATGGGCCGAGAGAGGAGAAGACGGGGCTCGGGCTCCGGCTGCCTCTCCAGACCCCTCGTCCGAGGCCCGGGAGGGGGGCCGAGCTGAGGTGCGGCCGCACACAGGGCGCCCCTCAGAGCCCCCTGCTCGCCCGGCCGCGGCCAGGCCTCACCTCGGAGATGCCGGAGTCCAGCACGGTGCGGAAGAGAGATTGGCGGTAGTAGGGGCTGATGGTGGACGACAGGAAGGGCAGAAGGTCGTACTCGAAGAGGCCTTCGCCGAAAAACTGGTCGAACAGCCGGCTGGGGTAGAAGGGGCCCAGCGCACGCTTGAACCAGGGGTGCTGGATGGCGATGTCCATGGCGGGCGTCGGCGGTGCAAGGACCCGGGGCTGGCGGGGAGTCGGGCAGGGGCCTCTGGGCGGTGTGGTGCGGGGCTGGGAGGTGAGCCCTCCTTATATAGGCCGGCGACAGAATAGAGGCATTAGGGGATTTGTCTGGAAAGCGTCAGCTAAGGAGGAAGGCTGTGCCTGGTCAGCAGAAACGCGGCCTGGGCCCAGCGCCCGCCCCCCCCAGCCACGGGCCCTGAGGCCCTGACCGGCACGGGGCCCTGGCCTTCCGGAGGACAGCGCCCCCAAGGACGCGAGCCGTGCGTCTCTGGCCCCCGCTCACCCGGGGTCGGTGAGGACTGGTCTCCCGCTGCTGCGTGGGCGGTGCCCCTGCGCCCCCGGCCGCCCCGTGAGCGGTCACTCATCCGCACTTCACAGACTTGGAGGTGGGCTCAGAGGCCACGCGCGCGATCCCCGAATCTCAGAGCTACCGGGGGAGAGTGCGTGGCTTTTCCCAACAGAGTTCCCTCTAGGACTCGTTTCTGGGTACGACGCGTACCCACGGTCACCGTAAAAATCTCAGGATGCTCCTCTCCGCGCGGCTCACCCTGGACATCGTCTCGGTGAACATTGTCACCTCACTGTGACAAGGCTAGGCAGCCGCCTCGCGCCAGGGGCTGTTGTCGCAAGGCCCGGGGACCACGTAGTAACAGGCAGCCACCACAGGCCCGGGAAGCGCCGGCTCCCAGCCCCTCACGAGCCCACTCCTCGCTGCACGGTCCGGACCCGAGAAGCTTCTTATTCGTCCCGTCCCTCCGCCTCCCTGCATGGGCTCTGACCGGCGCCCGCGCTGTGCAGGCGGCGCGAGTGCATCCTCAGCACTCTCGGGCATCTTCGCGCCCCTCTCTCCTGCCCCTGCACCTCGCCGGCCATGGAAGGGCGCTTACCCGGCGCTTAAGGAGGCTTGTGTCTGACACAAGTAAGGCGAGATCAGTGTCGAAAGTGGGGACTCGAGAGCCTCCCTCACGCGGCTCCTTCCTGACCAGCCGTGTTCTGTACCAAAGCCTCCCCACCTCGTTTCTCAGCACCTGCTACGTGCGCAGCACCAGACCGGGGGGAAAGGGCCCTGAAAAATCTGGAAACGCCAGCCTTTGCCTTGCAAGTGGATGATCTGAGGGAGCAAGTCCCCGGGGATCGGGCAGCAAAGACCGAATTAGGGCGGAGACCGTCAATGCGTGGGGGGCAGAGGGCACCTGCCCTGCCCCGGGCCTGCACAGGCCACGCTCTGCTGGCCTCCTTAAACCTCCGTACCCACCCCAACTTCGTAGACCAGAGAAGTGGAGTTCAGAGAGGGCGGGCTGCGTGCCCAGTCACTCGGCTCAGAGCAAGGGCAGGGGCTTCGCCAAAGGCCCCCCACCCGGCCAGAGCCGGCGAGGGCCACTGAGGTGGCCCCGCACCGTGCCCAGCTGACCCCTCCCGGTGACAAGTGTCCCTCTGGCCGAGTCCGCTGTGGGGGGTGGGGGACCAGCAGGGCCAGGCGTGTGGCCAGGAGCCCGGCAGGGAAGGAACAGTGGAGTCAGACGGAAGGAAAGTCAGCCGTGCTAACGTGTCTTCATTTAAATGTTGGTATTTTGTTCATCGTAGATTCTTTGTGTTCATTTTGATCTTTCAAAACACTACGTTAAGAAATGATTTATCCTAACGATTCTGTCTCTGGTGACCCCTGACCCTGTCACGGGGGGGAGGGGCGTGCCTCGCTCAGCCTGCCCCTCCACGGGGTCCTGGAGCTGTCTGCACCTGCGGGGGAGGGGGTGGCAGCAGGGACGACCTGCAGATGAGCACAGCCCCGTCCCGTGGGCCACACGGCTCAGGGAGGCCGAGGGTCTGCCAGGGTCCTTCAGATGCTCACGGGCGTTTGGGCGCTCACACGCCTTGCACACCTGGCGCTTTTGGGGTTTGGAATCCCGTGGGCTGCAGCCAGCGAGAGCGGAGACCTCCCTGGGGCAGGGACTCAGGCTGGCGGGGCCCTAGCGGTGGCCTCGGGGTGGGCTGGCACCCAGGCTGCAGGGATAGGAAGCGATGGGGACCAGCCATGTCGCACGTGTGTGTGCAAATTCACCCGGCCTCGACTCCCCACCTCGGCACAGCCCCTCACCACCCCGGATTCTGTGAGAAGAGGACCCTTTTATTCTGGGCCTGGAGTCCTCCCTGGGGGACCCTGAACAGGTTATTTGTGCTAAAGAACAAACCAGCCAAGTCATGTTTCCCCGTGCAGAGAGAGCGTTCCCAGAGGGCCCTGCTCTGGGTGGCCAGGCCTCAGGGCCCACGCCTCTGGCCTTGGGTGCCTCTGGCCTTGGGCTCCTCTGGACTATCTGCCAGCATTCCAGAAGGTTCTCACAGCCCTACAGGAGTGAACTGGACCCCATCGCTGTCCTGGGCAGACTGACACCCACCCCCTCCCGAGATGCTCTCTGTAAAGACCTCAGGTGGACGTCATGCTTGGGGTTGGTACCAGACCTCAGCCCTGCCTCTGTGACCCCCAAGGCTGCAGCCGGCCGTCACCAGAGACACGGCACAAGGCGAGGGCCCGCTCCATGGTGTGGGAGGGGCTGGGTGCCCTTCTTCCCGTGCCACCCAGTGGGCGGGGGAGGGGGCCACGGGTGACGGGGGTCCTTGCTGTGACAAGGGCGCCCCGCCTCAGATGGGGCAGAGACTTGCGCCGCCTTCTCACAGGGAGGGGAGTCGGACCGTCCCCAGTCACGCCCGGCCGCTAGGCCTTGGACCCACGCACTGCGCGGGCCCCTCCTGACCAAGACAGGCTGTGCCCTGACGTTTCTGCCCGGCTGGCCTGTCCCGCAGACCCCAGGGCAGAGAAGTGCACCTGCGCCAGGTGGGTGCCGCGGGGGAGGGGAGCAGCGGGCCCCAGGTTCGCTGGGGAGAGCAGGGCAGGTGTGACTCCCAGGTGGCACCAGGCCATCACTCGGTGCCTGGGAGCCACGCTTTCGTCCTGGGGGACCGTGTGAGGCTGACCGACGTGGGCCTCCAATGTGGCCATTTTTGCTCGCCATCTTAGCCCTGCCCACAGCTCCCCAAACCCAGCTTCCTGGAGAGTCACTGCCCCCTCCACCTGTGTCCCAGACCTAGACTCTGGGGAGAACGGACTGGCCCCGAGGCCATCCCCTGCCCCGCCGACCAGGACCTATCTTGGCCTGAGAGACAGGCAGGCAGGGCTGCCGCGGGGTGGGGAGGGGTCTGCAAAGGTTGGGGGGGCAGCCAGCCGAGGACGCCAGAAGGTGACCACGAGGCACCCACCTGGGGTTCAGCCAGGCCATGAGGGCCGCACCCCACCCAGGGCTCAGCCCTCAGCGCGCCCTGGGGCCAGCCGCTGCCACCGCCCACTCTAACAGCAAGCAGATGGGGCCCAGAGGCCAAGCCACTGCCCGACTGCACACGTACAGTGGCCCCGGGCAGGCCCTGTCGGGACCCAGCACGTGCTGCTCAGCCCAGGGCCGGGCCCACATCGCAGGTTAAAGAAAAAAGGAAAAGAGTTTATAAAAATCAAAGAAAAAAAGTACATCCCTCCTAAAGCCAAGGAAAGAAATTAAATCCACAGACAATTCTGTTTATGTCATCATGTCTGCTGAGGTCCCGTCATGCCCCCTTGAGGCACGGAGGCTGTCCACGCATCCACGGCAAACCACGGCCCACGTGGAACTTGCCTTCGTGGGCGTGCAGAACTGAGGCATCATGGGAGGGCTCCCTAGGGCGGGCAGTGAGCCAGAGGCCAGGGGAAGGTGAGCCCTGAGTGTGTGCTGACCCGAGGGCTCTGGGCTGGAGAGGGCACAGGGCTGAAGGGGGCGGGGGACTGGGGAGGGGGCCATGCATGTTGGAGCGGCCCTGGAGAGGCCCTGCACACGTCTGTGTCTGTGTGTGTGTCTGTGTGTGTGTGAGTATAGTCTGTGTGTGCGTCTGTATCTTCATGTGTGTGCATTGTGTCTGCATCTGTGTCTGTGTGTGTGTGCATTGTGCCTGTGTGTGTGTGTTTCTCTGTGCACGGTGTGTGTGTTAGGGGGAGCGTGAGCTGTGATTCCTGAGATCATCTTTCTCTGACATCTGAACCCATCGGGACGTGTCAGGAGCTTGTCATCCAGCCCGGCTATGGGCGCCCGGCCCCGGAGGGTGCTGTCCTCGGCGCATTGTTCCGAGGAGGCCGGCTTAGGCTTAAGCCCGTTCTCAGCGATTTGCATTCCGCTGCATTCGCGCTAAATGCCAGCCCTCCTCGCACAAAGGCTGGTATTTGCTTTATCCACAGGATTCCCATAGCGCCAGCAGTTTGCCCGAGTGCGCAAAGCCCCGGCACCCCAATTTTCCGCTCCAGGGACCGGCGGGCCGCGCCCACGGATGCGCACCGCGCGGGCCTGGGGCTCTGCCGTGCGTCAGCGGGTCGCGCCTGGGCTGAGCCCCCGGCTCTCCGCGAGGTCAAGGTGGGTGCGGGCAGCCTGTGACCCCTCCACGGCCCCGGGGAAGCCGCCACCCCCCCCCACCAAGGGAGGACACTGCAGGGTCCTCCAAACACCGTGGGATGGGACATCGGGTCCCCTCACACAGGTCGTGCTAGGCCGAGGACAGTAGTGCCCCATCTGCTCACCAACCCTTGGTGTCTTTGGTGACTTTTTCTTGGGGGGAAAGTGTATGACAAAAATTCTCACACGTTCTGCAACGTGGCGAGAACGGCGCAGGGAGCGTCCGCCAGAGCCACCCGTTTATGGAGGTTTCTGCCCCATTTGCTTGTCTCCCTCTCCTCCCCGGGGGGATTTCAGAGCGAAGCCCAGACCTCCCGTGGCCCCGTGCTTCTCCGGGACGAAGGGTCCCTTCCTTGTAGAAGCACAAACCCCGTTCCGAAGGCGACCGCGTCAGCCACCCTCCTAAGCCTGGTCCCCGACCAAACACTCCCCATCTTCTCGAACGAGCCCTTCCCTGCTGATCTGTTCCAACCAACACCCACACCCAAAAAGGAGGTAGACATGTTTGTC